TACTATAGATGAATTGTCATACGTATTATGAATCAAGGGTTCCAGTTCAATAACTGATAACTTCATGATTATCCATGCCAACTAATGAGAATACATCTAACACGACACGGCTTCAATTTAAAGAACCTCAAGTAATAACACATATTGATAGTTCTATTCTCGTGTTTTAAATACATATATATCGTAATTACTTTCATGAGATACATTGTGAAGAATGTAGTTCAACATCCACTTCTTGGACAACTAATTCTCTTTCAACATAATATAGATGCACATAATCATCAGAGATAATGAAAGTCATATCAATCATTAAATCTTTATATCATATTTGATGCCACTATATCTTCATAAACAACACCACTCATGAATTGTCGATTCACATGAAATCTCTCACCAGTAAGAAAAGAGGAATAGGTAATAACCATATTATGACTCTTAAAAGAAATCTCATTATGCCAATAGAATACGAACAGCAATTCCAGATCAGTATTCTCATTAACAACCATTATACTGTCAATTATAGAATTTGGAATTCACTCCCACATCAGACAACACATTCTCACTAAGACAATTACAGTAAATGGTATATTTTTTTAAGGGATTCTGTTATACTTTCTCTGACATACACATCGAAGAGAAACCGCTGATCTGGAAGTCCCTATGTTATCTAATTTCCAGTAATAGTACATATTATCACGTACTAAACTACAAACGCGTATAATCTTTACAGGACTATAATTCCAAAATTATTTTAGCTAGTATAAATAATTGTATTGACATTCTAGATGATGATATAGTAGACACGCCATCCCTTGCGATCTAATACACTCTAAGTCTAATTTAATACTAGAGAGGAAAACCACAGGCTATCCATTATAATTCTCTAACAGTTTATGGAGGCTTCTATATTATAGTCATCACATTTATCTCCCAATTCATACCGCTTCCTCTCAACTATAACCTGAGAGAGCATTCTAAACATTGACATAACATCAATCTCTCTCTATCTTTCAGGGATTTCGGGTCTAGTTATTATCTAAAAGACACACATAAAAACAACTTACTATTATCCCTCCTATAAAAACATAAAATATGAAACACAAATTCTAGACATACTCAACATGAAGTAACGAATAACGACTCTAAGATACCAAGCAACACATTCAATCGGGTTGTACTATTGCTTATTCTAAACAACCTCGAGGTGATGTTTTTCGATCTCCAAACCATACTAAGTGACACCTATTTTTGAAAGGAAATTGCACAGGACTACTGAAATTAAGCAAGAAAACTATTATATTAAATCATTATTCTAATAAATAACATTTAATAATCAAAAAGTACAAATCGATAATCCGAGATCCCACTTAATTCATACACTGATTTTCCTTGTATCATCATCATTATATGCCATTCAGAAAGTCACACACAAGAGAATCGGCGGTCAATAAAAGTTGCAAAGACTGTAGCATATGGCCTTTTTGATCAATTCAAACCCGTTCCATTATTAATACTGCAGAACAAACAGACTATCTGTCATATCTATAAACTATAGCACTCGACTCTCCGAACTACATCAAGCTCAATCAAGCTAGGATGACCAAATACAACACAATACCAGAACAGAGCCGCTTAGTCAGAGACCATACAGAGATGAGATCATAAAACCATATTATCATAAATTATATAACTCATAAAAATACTGCTATCTTGGATTTTATCAACACAACCATATAACCAATAACATTTTATTATTTAAAAAGGTACTCTATCTTGGATTTATATATTGCTCCATGATAGCTTAAAGAAAACCCGGTCATATATTATAAGTCTGGAGTCAAAAAGATGAAAATAGAGAAGTAAGCAGCTACCATTTACCAGGAATGAAGTGAATTGTGAAAGGGCCAGATGTTCCTATACAGACACGTTGATGTTTATATAAGACATTCGTCTAAAACTGCTGCAGGGTTTTTTTTCTCAACTCTATGTGAACTCGATATTTATCATAATGAGAGGAGGTCTTATTTTTAAGGTGGGAAATATTCTCATTTGTAGTTAAATGAAGGAATATTAATACTCACACTCAGGCAGTGCCAATAAGTGTGCAGCTACATCGAATGGATGAAAAGGTGGTTTAATGTAGTCCATTTTAAATGGTTTCTTTATTTATTTGAGAAGGGACCGTAGATATGGTTTAACAATAGCACCGGTGAGTCCCCGGTTATGGGCATGCTGAGACCATGCTCACTTCCATCTGCAGGGACCCTGGTAGTTGGATGGCCATTTGTAGAGAAAACAAACCAACAACACGATTATAATAACAATAAGCACGTGATAGAAAACATAAGCACAATGACTTGATTTGACTTCTTTTTCTTTTTTTGCCCGAGAGTTAAGATAATTACGCCTATTTTGTTATTACTCAGTGGCAGTGCATTAAGTGTGCAGCCTAAATGCAAAGGACGGAAAAGAATCAGAAACGGTTTATTGCCAGGTAGGTTCACACGTACCCAGAATTTTAAAAAAGGTGGTTTAAGTAATGCCAATTAATGATTGTTTATTTTATCTGAGAAGGGGACTTGAGTCCTTCATGGATATTGTACCAGGTGTTAGCCATAACGTGCTAAGTGTCCCGATCCGACGTGATCGGGGATGCCGGAGCCGATCACGTGATTTTCAAAAGATCGGAATCGGGAGAAAAAAATCGGGGGTCGGGTTTTTTTTTATTTATTTTTTTAAATATTTTTTTCTATTTTTATTATTCAATGTTACAAAACAAAAATGACCATGTTCAAGTCTTAAAGTCATCCTGAGGCCTTAGTTTTGGTTTCAAATTACACAACATCATGTATGTGTTGCTTCTTTGGGGCTTGTTTTCATAGACCTGGTTGCTTATTTCTCTCAAATCTGGCAACAGAGTGGGCAGGGCGCAGTGTCTAATTGTAGCAGTAAGCTAACGAGTACTGAAAGCTTTATTTAGTTTTGATCCAATGCTGCACAACTGAACTGATCCAATGCTGCTGTGAAAGAAAGAAGCTATATCCATGTTGGATAGAATATCCAATTTAAATAAAAAAATAACCTTAAGGGACAACTTGAATGCTTTTTTTCTTTTTTTCCTCTTAATGCATTGCATAAAGATCGGATCGGGAAAAATCAGTATCGGCAAATTGTCAAAATCAAATGATCGGAATCGGATCGGGAGCAAAAAAAGGTGATCGGGACATCCCTAATACGTGCTCACTCCCATATGCAGGACCTGGTAGCACATTTTAAAACACATAAGCACAACGAAAGAACATCAACACAGTGATAGAAAACATAAGCACAATTAATAGGACAACGGATAACTCCAGTAGACTTTCATATTTCTTGATGCTATTTAAAGTCTCCTTGCACCCCCACACCCACCTGGGATCTTCTTGGCCCAGCTGATCATGTGGACCAGCTCCTTGTCGGCCAGGTTGGTGAGCGACATCATGACGTTGGCTTCAGTCAGCGGCCGGTTCATGTCCTTCATCAGGTAGATCTCCGGCGGCTCCGCCTCCATTATCCTGGAGATCAGGTGCTCCGGGGTCAGAGCCGGAGGGAGGGGTGCGTTTGATAAAACCACCACTGGTCCGTTTAACGCCTTTGGGAGGTTGGTTCTGCTCTCAGAGGACAGGCGGGTCACTCGCCTCGTCTGGGGGTTCCTGCAGTTTGCACGCTCCTTACGCAAACCTGACATAAAGAAGATGTTCACATTACTGCTAGCATCCTTTACTAAAGTAAGTGGAGAAATACTACAGTCTAAGCCAGTGGTTCTCAACTGGTCAGGCCTCGGGACCCACTTTTTACTTGGTCAATAAATCGCGACCCAACATTTTGAAGCACTCAAATCTATTCAACAAAAAATCGTGCTGTAATATATACGCTTTTCAGCATACAATATTAATTAAAGTTAAGAACAGTGCATATATCCCTTCACAGAACTAAAGTATGCTTTTCCGGGAGATTTTTATAAATACTAACAAACTATGCATTCTGGTACACTCTGAGAAGAAAATAAATAAATCTATTACTACCCCATTGTTTGTTTTTCACTTAGTTCTGACAGCTTGCTGCTCCTCACAGAGAGAAGAGTAAAGAGGAGATAGTCTGTGTGAATTACTTTAAATTGTGGGTAAGGGTAGATAGCCCCCATTGTTCTGTGACATGTCAATCATCAAACCGGGGGTCATATTTAATTACGTGTTCATTTGTATCTGAAGTTGTACCCATGGATGTATAAAGAATAGTTCTACCGCAAAGTTATTCTCCGTGAGGACTTCCGCCAAAAATCTTGATTCTGATTGGCCAGAAGACTCGAAAAAACATCAGCAAAGATGTTTTATTGAGAAGATGATCACCACGTGACTACTAGTCTCCGGTACTTCCAGTCCAACGCCTACTGCATGCACAGCGTTAGAAAATTGGGCCTTCAAAAATGAAAGTTTGACTTTTTTCCCCCCAATTTTTTTTAAATTTAAAAAAAAAAAATGTCTTCACTCACACATCCGCGACCCACTCGAAACGGGTCCGCGACCCACTTTTGGGTCGCGACCCACCAGTTGAGAACCACTGGTCTAAGCAATAGTCCTGAATTCTAAATATTATTTGAGAAGAGAAGTATTATCAGCTAAATGTACATCAAATATCAAAAGTAAAAATAATTGCTATGGCTCTTTTTACATTATGAAAGAATATGAAGTTATCCTCTTATTACTGCAGAATACATGCAACACATGTTTAATAATTACAATATGTAATCAATAAAAAATATAATATTAAAAGATAATACATTGTTTTTCAAAGTGGTACCAATTGTAGACACTTTTAGAAAAACTGGGTTTATTAGAAGTACAGAACTGTCATATCATTTTTGTAAAAGTAACATAATAAAAAGCAACTATGAGTGTTATATAACTTCCCTGCCTCTGAAATGTAGTGGATAAGAAGTATAAAGTAGTACGGAAATACTCAAAACAATTGAGTGATTGAATACAGTGAGTGAGTGTACTTAATGACATTCCACCAATGCATGTCACACTATACACTCTGTATTTGTGAAACATAACCCACACTGTATATTTACATATTTTGTAAATTGCCATGTTTTAAATGCTATTAAAACCTGCTAAAACTGATATATCTGGCTTCTTGGAGGCAGAACAATATCAATCTGTGAACATAATACTGTCATCATCACAGTATGGTGAACCTATTGCAAACAGTTGCTTATTAAATCATCCAGCAGATAATGACTGTTATAAACATTTACTGTCAGTCCTACTTCCGACCCCGATTAATTCAAGTCCAATAAATCTCTCTTTCAGTTTCATGTCGATTCGGATAGCAGTAGTTTATGGTTTCCACTAAAGTCCTGAGGGAGGTGTCTGGCTCTTTAGTTGCTAAACGCTCCAACATGTTCACCAGATAGTTGCCGACTTTTCTGAGCAGGTAGAGAACAGAGGGTGTTGTTGTTAAAAAAAAACATCTGCCTGCTAATCTGAAAATTACACAATGAACCAAACACTATCTGATCTCCCCATGGCATTTAACTATACTGACAAATGAATGACTTGAATTCCTCCACAGCCACAGAAAGCCACTTCTCTTCATGCAGCTGTTGAACCAATCAAACTCACATGGAAATAAACAACAACTCTCCCGGCTGCTGCTCAGGGAAAAGGACATTCTTGGACAAACTAAGCCACGGGGAACTGATGACACAGATGACAACCATTACAGCAAGTTGCTTTAAAGAAAATGAAATAAATATCCTGACTGGAGACAGTTTCTGGTTCCTTTGAGAAAGAGAAGAGGCACGAACCTCGATGGGAACAGAAGGAGAAAACAAACACACATTCAAAATGGACACGAGAAAACAAAAAGACACTTACCGCACTTGGTCATGCCGACTTCACAGCATTTGCGAAGACGACATGCCTGGCAGCTCTTCCGGCGGTTCTTGTCTATCGTGCATTGATTAGTCGCCGGGCAGATGTAGTCATTGTGTCCTGAAACAAAGAGAAGCACAAAATGGAGGACATGACGACAAAAAAGGACGGAAGACATATGACCATTAAAGAGGGTTTCATCTATTCCATAAAGCAGATATTGACATATTCTGGATCAAATTGAATGTTTCCCTGCAGGTGGAGGGGCTGGGAATGTGAGGGAACCATCTGGGCCCAGGAGTTCAAAACTTTTAATCCCTATCTGATCAGATCAGATTTGGATTTTGGGGAGTTCAAAACCAAAAAACAGGATTAGGATCACTTTGATATCCGACCAGATCAGGAAATCCAATCCAAGCTTTAATCTGGATCAAATCTTCAAAACGGGTAGTTCAAACCGACAACATTATCCTGATCCCACCAGAGGGGTGGATCTCCAGTGGATTACCAGAGCAAAATGTACTGTACAATTTATTTAAAAATATGTTTCAATATAAATAAGATGGCAAAGTTTGTTAACTGAAATAATACACCATTTTTTGCCTTCATGGCAAATCAATTTTATTTTTCATTTTTTGGTCATGTTTGTGGTGGCCTATTTTGTATTCAACCAAATGTTGATGACATAAATGTTTATGCTCATGAAAGTATCACAACAAAGATTGTCAATCACAAATGTAATTTAGATTAAAGAAAAAATACCTTCAACAAAAAAAAGTCCATCTGTCATCACCTTTCAAAAGTAATTGCGGACAATAGATGTCTGCAATGTGGTCTCTTGTCTTCCTTGTTTTATTTTTCATGTCCACTAGATGGCGATCGGTAGGATTAAAGCACTGATATTCAGGATCTAGTCATCTTGAAAAATCGTAATCTGGATCAGGCTGATCCTATCCTGAATTGCTTTGAACTCCAGGGACAAAATCTGGCCGACTTGTCTGATCCTGGATCACAAAAAATGAGATTTCAAAATCTGATCGGATCTGATTGAGATTCAAAGTTTTAAACTCCTGGGCCCTGGGGACCATGGACATTAATACAATATTTCAATCTGGATAATGTTGACAATCAACCAACTTTGCCACAATGCATTGCTTAAAAATGAAAGATTTTACTTTTGTGTGGAATAACTTTCCAATTCTTGTATACATGTGTTTTCCTTTGGCACTTTTGTGTGTTGACTGGAAATGAAGTCTCAATTATAAGTAAAGTGAACAAAATGGATTCCTCCAAAATATACCACAACATAAAATCACGTGTTATCACTCTCTCCTCCTGTGAGAAACATTGTAATGCTTTGTGAGTGGTGCAAAATGCTACGTCTGGTGATCCTTAGGATCACCAGACGTAGCATTTTGCACCACTCACAAAGCATTACAATGTTTCTCACAGGAGGAGAGAGTGATAACACGTGATTTTATGTTGTGGTATATNTTACATTGACTTACATGCATTTCCTGGAGACTTATCCTAACCTTAACCATAACCAACACACACCTAACCCTTACCCTTAACACTACTCCTAACCCTAAACCTAACCAAGTCTTCACCCTAAAATTAATGATTCCCCTCCATTTTGTCCCCATGAGGGAGGCGAGTCCCCACACGTGACTGTGTAAACAGATGTAGGTCCGCACAAGTATAGTAATGCTCGGCCACACACACATACACACACACAGCAGATTAGACACGTCAGACTATTTTTACCGCTCCCCCCTGGGCTTCGGGCAGATCCGATTGGAGGGAAAATTCAGCTATTAATCTGACGGAGGTGCTCCACCATCTGCCACCGAGTACACAAGACATCCAGTCACAACACACACACACACACACACACACACACACACACACACACACACACACACACACACACACACACACACTAAACTCTTTACAGTAATCTCTCAGAGGCTCGTTGCTGGATTTACACACCAAGGCTCATTGTCATCGCTTTACTCTTCGTCTTCTTTTCCTGCAGGATTTTATTTTCATAACGCAAAACACTGCAGGCTATATGTCTTGTTCATTCAGGTTCACTCATTATTACCTACTTTATCACTAAAACATGCAGAAAAGGTGTTTTAATGGCAGTATTTTTTGATTTATGAAGTGACACAAAGACATCGCCTCTGTAAAAAAACTTTTACTCTAATAGAAAAAAAGAATCAAGAATTCTCTGCCAGGCTTTATCCAACGTTCGCATTTATGAGCTAGACATTTTAGAAAACATATTTCCTAACATAACGCCATTTGCATGTTCAAACATATACATTCAGAAAACTTGTAATGCAAACAAATATTCCGTCAGCACAACTTGGAAAGTGTCATGGTGATATCTATAAGGACTTTTTTTTACCCTATTCACCTTTTTAATTCTCGTGTCCTCTCCCAACACCTCCTTGTTGGCAGAGAACTAACTAACAGGTTTTAATAAGCAATGCAAATGTCTGTAGATGTGATGAAGGTGGCAGCATTAGTGAGAAGACTGCTGATGGATAACAGAATGCATCATACGTTTATAGCTAAGAGAACATTGCCATCTGTCATCGGGTTTCTTAGTTACCATAAAATCCAAAACAGAACCACTTCTACATAATTATCACAATGTTCTCGTGCAAATCTTAGAAATATTAAGGCTTCATTAAATGTTTCTAATTGCACATTAAAACCCAGGAAGTGTCGCTCTTAATGCACATTTGACTTTCCCTTTAAAACTCTCAGACACCAGGCTGTGATGCAGCACCAGCAGAGGCAGCTGTGCATAAACGAATACCTGCAGCAGCGTTTCACAACTGCTGAGTCGGCACAATAATTCACACAGTCTGCACATTTTATCCTAAAATAAATCATGCAATCCATCTTTTTCTGATTAGCCTCAATGTGTTATGGCACTACAGCGGCTGTTTTTCTTTTTCCTTTACTCTCAAAGGTTTCTTAAAGCCCCTAGATACTATTTATTATTCCTCTGAGACATTTAGAGGTTAGGATTTCATGAGAGGGACCAATATTAAGGTTTTAAGGTTTCATATCAGTGTGTAGTGTCTCTACTTTAAAGAGTCCTCTCCTGCTGATGTTCAGGTGTATATCAGTATGTAGTGTCTCTACTTTAAAGAGTCCTCTCCTGCTGATGTTCAGGTGTATATCAGTATGTAGTGTCTCTACTTTAAAGAGTCCTCTCCTGCTGATCTTCAGGTGTATATCAGTATGTAGTGTCTCTACTTTAAAGAGTCCTCTCCTGCTGATGTTCAGGTTCACATCAGTATGTAGTGTCTCTACTTTAAAGAGTCCTCTCCTGCTGATGTTCAGGTGTATATCAGTATGTAGTGTCTCTACTTTAAAGAGTCCTCTCCTGCTGATGTTCAGGTGTATATCAGTATGTAGTGTCTCTACTTTAAAGAGTCCTCTCCTGCTGATGTTCAGGTGTATATCAGTATGTAGTGTCTCTACTTTAAAGAGTCCTCTCCTGCTGATGTTCAGGTGTATATCAGTATGTAGTGTCTCTACTTTAAAGAGTCCTCTCCTGCTGATGTTCAGGTGTACATGTATATCAGTATGTAGTGTCTCTACTGTAAAGAGTCCTCTCCTGC